GGGAGGGAGGGAGGGAGGGAGGGGGAGAAAGTGACAAGGGAGGGAGGGAGGGGGACAAAGAGTGACAAGGGAGGGGGACAAAGAGTGACAAGGGAGGGAGGGAGGGAGGGAGGGAAAGAGAGTGACAAGGGAGGGAGGGAGATTGACATCCATCACACACACACACAATCGCACAATCATGCACACACACAGACTGCTGATTCCATATACACACACAGACTGCTGAGTCCACACACACACACACACAGACTGCTGAGTCCATACACACACAGAGACTGCTGAGTCTTTATACACATACAGACTGCGTGCCGAGTCCATACACACATACACACATAGACTGCTGAGACCATACACACACACACAGACACACACACAGACTGCTGAGTCCACACACAGACACACACACAGACTGCTGAGTCCATACACACAGACACACACACACACACACACACAGACTGCTGTGTCCATTCTCACACACAGACTGCTGAATCCATACACACACACACACGCGCACACACAGACACACACACACAGACTGCTGTGCCCATTCTCACACACAGACTGCTGAGTCCATACACACACACACACACACACATGCACACACAGACTGCTGAGTCCATACACACAAACACATACTGCTGAGTCCACACACACAGACTGCTGAGTCCATACATACACAGACACACACGCACAGACTGCTGAGTTCATACACACACACACAGACTGCTAAGTCCACACACACACACAGACTGCTGAGTCCATACACACACACACACACAGAGACTGCTGAGTTCATACACACAGACTGCTGAGTCCATACACACACACATACACACACACACACACACACACACAGGCTGCTGAGTCCATACACACAGACTGCTGAGTTCATACATACACAGGATGCTGAGTCCACACACACAGATTATACCCTCAGAGTATAAACTGTTTGTAACAGGAATATTGTTCCATCTCATGGCTTAACTCCTTTTACCATTGATGATGCATATCTATAATTCACCTATTGTACATCATTGCAGAACATCTTGAAGCCAAATGTAAAAAGAAAGAAATATACTATGTTAGCATGCTATACAAATAATAAATGCACTCTCTGTGAAACAGATTAATTTCACAATTGTTTTAATAAGTGTGTAATTTAAAGATCGTTCCATATACATTCCTATTGTACATTGTGCAGACACACAGTGTTCTATATATAAAGTAGATACACAATTCATTGCTCTGTATATAAGTGAGTAAGTAGGAGTGGGGGGATGTCCATTCCTCAGCGGTCACCCTGTCACTGTCACTCCCAGGAGCCATATTTAGAACCTGAATAAAAGAGGAATCGACACCGGGTCATCTCTTAGCCAACCCCCTGTCTCTAACACTCTCCAAAAATCTTCCTCCTGTTTGCTCTCTCTGTGTAGTTTTCTTAATTCTTCCTTTCTCTTGTTTCTTTTTGTTTTCCTCTATATTCTTATATACCAGCATAATGGCAAATAAGCAAAATAAAAGTAAGCCAACCCAGGTCCCCGAGGATGTGCCTGAAAACTCAGAACAAGCAGAAAAACCAGAGGAGGGGGAAGGGGAAGAGAAGAAGAAAAAGCAGGAGGATTTACCTCCCTTTGAGATAGTTGAGGGGTAAGTGTTTTGTACAAGATATTGTTCATAGAATAAACCATGCAAAGAAAGTCTACTCAGATATTTTCAGTTTTAAACTTATTTTACAAAGATCAGACATATCTGATGTAGTTTTAATAATGGACATAATCTCTTTTTCATTGCAACTTTTGTTTTTATTTCCCTATGGGGTTCATTAACAAACTTGACAAGGAGACTGCAAATTGTATGCCAAAATAGCTGAATAATAAAAAAAAATCTATAATTTAATGGGGGAAAAATTGCAGCTCAGCCATTTTTCCACCTTTCTTGATCCAAAATGTTCAATTACTTTGTCAAATCGCAATTCCTAGTTGAGCTAATAAATCCCAAATGTGTTTTCATTCTCAGAGATAACTGCATTTTTTTTTTATATAAGGTGTGCTTTGGTAAAAAATAAGTAACAAGTGCAGTGTACATTTATTGTATTGAACTGTCTACGAATATAAAGTACTGCATTATTATTAAGTGTGCAGTAGGATTATGCAGGAGATTATCCTTACAGCGACACTGTTACCTTGCTGCCTATTATAAACTTTTAATAGTCTATATAGATATAGACTACATTACCTAATTTCATAGTCTTGAACCTATGAGTCCAGTTATATAATTAATGATAAGTAATACACTGATAAAAGCTTTGTATTATAGTCTTCAACTATCCACTAATCCAGTTATATTATTAATGGTAAGAAATAAATTGATAAAATCTTTGTATTTTTTACTAGTATTGTCCTAAAGGAAATACAATACCCACCAAAAGCAGGACTTGACCACCCTTTGTTATCTGCATTTTTAGGTGCACTGCATTAAAATTTTAAAAATGTCAAAATTTAAAGTTTATTTGGAGTTAGAATAAGAATATCATATATATTATTTTCAAGTTACGAAGTTACCTACCGTGAACCTTTTATGATACAAGTACATGAACAATACAGGGTAACTCTAATACTAAAATCCAAATTCATGCAGCTTGGAGAGCTGCATGTCAATTCTCTAGTGAATAACCCTTAGATTGGTTAATGTTACTGCAGGGACTTAGGCGCAGTAACAGGTTACCTTTGGTAGATGACCAGCTCACATACTGGTATTTGGACGTCAATGATCTGAGTCATTAATTATATCTCATGGCTCTCTTCCCTTTAATGTTTATGAGGTTCCCATAACAGAAAACTTGACTGATCTCAGGTTACACTCCAAGCTGCTAAACAATATCTAAATATTGTTGGAGTTATCTCTACCCCCTCCCAATAATAGCAATCTTAATATAACCCTGGATGCCACTAAAATAGAATGTATTTTTCCATTGTTCTCTCCTAACAATTAACTGTCCAGGTTGATTTCTGTTAATATTGCATTGTATGTTTTCACAACATCCAACTCTGCAAGGTAATAAGCACATGGTATTGATATGTTTCCTGTGTACTTTACTTTTATTTCAGTATGTGGCTTTTGTAGTGTTTATGTGCAGGTAGATGCTAGAGGCTAACCCTTCCACACTAATTAAAACGTAAAACATTAATGTTACATGAGCAACACAGCTCCCATATACCATGGAAACAGTTTAGAGGGGAAGTGGCAAATTACACAGAGATTTGGGTGGATAGCACTAATTATAACCATCTCTAGTTGATGAAATTGAAGAATAGCCATACTGGCTTTATGGCTTGACCACTGCCCAATTTCCTATGCATATTTATAATTTAAGTGTGAATACCTGTGTCCAAAGAGCTGAAGGCAGTTTATAACACTTTATGGGCATTGGGTGTTTAAAGTAATTGCGTTTTTTTCTTTATCTAGGGCAAACATTTCCCCACCACTAACACAGCAATTAGTTAATTCAGACTTCTCCCTTAATGTCCCCACATTCTCAATCTCCATCCCACCAAAGAACATGCCCATAGTGTGGATTTCTACACAGAAGTAGTGATTTGATTCAGTAGCAGACAGGGATCAATAATTGCAGCCTAAATGTACTTAGTCAAATTAACATAGGAACTGGTAGAGCTGCTACTCCAGGCCCATGTCATATGATGACAAAATAATAAATCCTGTTTACTTTGAAGTGGGCTGGATATCAACACGATAAAAGAACACTGCAAGTACCATAAAGACTACAGTGGGCTGTAGGGGTTATGACACCAAGAGTACCATGGTGTGTGTAAGTGGTCAAACAGTTTCGGAATGATTTGACTCTTTACGTGGTGTCCGTCTGGCACTGCTCTCAACTATAGCTCAGTGCTTAGGTTCGTTCATTAGCTCCCCTGAACTAGTGCAATAAGCTAGGCCTTTCTCTGCATTGGCAGAACCTAGGGAAGTCAGACTGTTTTCAGACAGTATTATTACGTTCCCTGAAGGGTCATCAGGGCACTCCTGGCACAATAACGACTAGAGTATGGTGTAGTGGTTATGGTGCTTGGGATTTTCTTGACCACCACTGTAAGCAAAAGAAAAAAATCAAGAAGGGAAATAATATAACTGCACAGCTGTGTCAGCAAGGGTGAAAATGGCCTGCGCCTCATACTGGCTAAATGAATCACAGAACTTCTGTCTGGGAATAATGTCATATTTTGTGGCAGTGCTCTGAGTCATTGAAACCAGGCAGACTGCACTCTCAATCCATTAACTCTATGATTCACTAGATTTTATAAATACACACATTTGGATATACACCCACTGATTTTTTTCCTTACAGTGCATCTTTGTTGCCCTTCATCTAGGTTTCTCAAGTGGGACAGCCTTTATTTCCTGTCCCACATTTCTGGACAATAAGAAACTGTCCCCAGGCAGAACAGAGCGAGGGTATCACTAGACACATTTGATCTGTGCATCGATCATTAGAACCATGCAGAGATCGGGCCTGCCTATTATGGGCGTTGCAAGTGGCACAAGTTGCCTTATTGACTACATCCTCACCTCACTAGTCCCATTTTCATAAGCTATAGATTCATCTGCCAACACTACTGTCTGGCCTGGTTCTATTTTGATCTGCTCAACTACTAAGTAGCCATTTAGTTATTTATTTTTATGAGTGTAACCTGAAGCATTTTCTATACTGTGCAATAGTGAGCCTACCTAGCATATTCTGCACAATGTATCTGGAGATATACTTTAAGCGAGTAGTCTCTACTGAACTATATAATGAGTTAAATGTGACAGATGATGGAAGAAGTCAAAAGCAAAGCTAAAAATATCTGTTCAATTTCTGACAGAGAGTGTTTCAACACATGCAATATGTGGAACAAGCATGTCAAATTCAAAGGCTAAAATGGGTCAAAGAAACAAGGTTTATGTGAGCCGCAAAAAAACAAAAACTTAGAAACTTAAGTTTATTTAGAAAAGTAGAGTATAACAAAAGTAAACATATTTTAAGGAGACTTTCATTTGCATATAACCGAAGTTTCACTCCAACTACCTTGACATATTAAGAAAAGTTTGGTAATGGGACTTAAAGGGAGAATGTATGCTGTTATCGTGTTGATTTTGAAGTCCAATGAGTGTGTTCTTCATTTTGGCTGAGATCAAACTTGATGATCTCAGCCAATCCAATGCTTTCCGATAAGAAAGCATTGGGAGGCTATTGTGCATGTGTGGCAAAAAGCTGTGGGGCTAATCAGCATCTCCATTGGGAGTGTTCAGCGGCTCCATGGAGACCAAATCTAATACATTACCCCCTACCTCCACTTTAATACACTGCCCAAAAACCCAATGCATTGCCCCTCCTCACTCCACTCTAATTGAATACACTGATCCTCCTCCCAGCACTCAAATTTAATACACTACCCTCCCTCCCCCAATTTAATACACTGCCCTCCCCCCAATTTAACACACTGCTCCTTTCCTCCACTCTACTACACTGCCCTCCTCCCCAAAATTAATACACTGCCTCCCTCCCTCAAATTAACACACTGCCTCCCCTCCCCAATTTAATACACTGGCCCCCTCTCTCCACCAAATGAATACAGTTCCTCCTCCCTAAAATTAATACACTACCCACCCCCTCCCCCAATTTAATACAGTGCCCCCTCCCTCCCTCAAATTAACTCACCTTGCCAATTTAGCATACTACACAGGAAGGTCCCCCAAGACACTCTTCCACTACCTTAAGATGAGCCGCCCGTCCTCATCTGGCACTGCGAGCAGGATGGAAGGGGGAGTGGCTAGCCTGCGGCAGCACATGATTGGCCTTGGGAGGGAGGATAAGAATCAGACAGGAAATATGTTTCCTGTGTTGCGGCTGGTCGCAGCCACAACGTAAGTGGCCCCAGGGCAGGTGGGCCGCAAAAATATCCACCGTGGGCCGCAAACATGATACCAAGAGTTACAGTACTTAGAGAGCCATTTTAATCTGAAATCTTTGTTTATGTAAAAGTTTGAAGGCTGCACATAATACAAATTAAACTTGTCTGGAAGCAGATATTGGGTTTATAACATTTCGTTTTATAAGATTTGCTAAAAACATCGACTAGTTATTCAGCTGAAACTATTTATAGATGCAATTATTAAATGGACACAATAGGCACCCAGAACACTGCGTTAAACGACGTTTGCATGAGGATGTCCAGCATCTTCTAAATCCCCATAGGAGAGCACTGAGTTAATGCTTTCCTATGTGGAAGGCCTAATGCATGTGCAGTGCTCGCCACACATTAGGTCTCCTTTTCAGCTGACATCGGAGGAGGAGCCTGACCAAGCTTCAAGGTACATCGGTGCTGGAATCAGGTAAGTGTTTAAATGGGTATTTAAACCTTTCATGTCTGGGGGGGGGGGGGACCAAGGAGGCAGAGGGATATTTTAGATTTAGGAATAGAGTTTTGTATTCCTAACACTATAGCGTCCTTTCAGCTTTAGGGTACAGTACAGAAATTAGTTACAGGCATCTGCAAACAAAGGTTTTTTTTTTTTACTTATTGTTAAGGTTTTGACACGATTATGAACTACAATTAAGATGAAGCTCATTATCAGCCAAATTTAAATGAATACTCTGACATTAAAATATATATTTATTTCTAACTATAGTGTATTCCTATGCTGAGATTAATTAATAAAATTAAAAATGCAAAAAACACCATTACCTTTACCTGTAATCCAGTGGCAGGAAAATGTCCTATGAACAACTCACTCCAATCCAATGTTTCTCATGTAGAATCACTGGGCACCTAGGGCACAAATGCCTCTGTTAAAAGTCAGCCTTAGTGTCCTCATCTCCCCATTTGATGCTTATTGGTGGTCCTATGAAAGGCTTAAAGGAACACTATAGGGTCAGGAACACAAACATGTATTCCTGACTCTATAGTATTAAAACCACTATCTAGCCCACCTGGCCCCCTCTTACCTCCCTAAATATAGTAAAACCTTACTTGTATTCAAGTCTGCAGATGCTACCTCTGCCCCTGTCTGCCTCAGACCTGCCCCTGTCTGCTGACATCAACAGAAGTGGTAGTCTGAACCAATCACAATGCTTCCCCATAGGATTGGCGGAGACTGTCAAGGAGGCAGATCAGGGGCAGAGCCAGCAAAAGTCAAACACATCTCTTGTTTGAATCACTGCATCTCTATGAGGAAAGTTCAGTGCCTGCATGCAGAGGGTGGAGACACTGAATGGCAGTGCCGAAGCACCTCTAGCAGCCATCTGAGGAGCGGCCAGTGGAGTTATATCTAGGCTGTAATGTAAACACTGCATTTTATCTGAAAAGACAGTGTTTACAGCAAAAATCCTGAAGGGGATGAGTCTGTTCACCAGAACAAATGCAATAAGCTGTAGTTGTTCTGGTGACTATAGTGTCCTTTTAACTATAGGCAATTCGGTTTGCACTGAAAGTGATTAATCAGAGAACCATGCAAGATATAATCTTGGATATCGTGGCCAACAAGCAGCTGCCTGGGGAAGTAGGGATACCAGCGGGGCTCTGCTGACACGTTTGGCAAAATAACCACTATAGCAGTTCTTTTAACTTTTTGCTGAACCCATTAATGAGCAAGAACAGGAGTAGGCAACTTTCAGCACTCCAGATGTTGTTGACTAAATCTCCCCTTAGTGAATCCTTTTCCAGCATTCTGGCTGTAAGAGCATTATGGGAGATGTAGTCCAGAACATATGGAGTACTGAAGGTTGCCTACCATTGAGCTAGAATATTCATGTCAAATAATAATGATGAAATTCAATAGTGATAGTCACTAGTCTTAAACAGAACTTGTTTTAGTGGATTAGTATCAGACATACTTCTCCAAAGCTAAGTAAGCAATGTTGCTAAATGGAGCCCATTATTTAGAACTACTCTTTGATGTCCACTGTCCTTAATTAATATTATTTAATCTCCAATAAGCATTAAAAATGACAAAATTACAATTATTTTCCTAGTAACTTTGTATATAAAGATTTAAATAATTTCCTATTCTTTCTCAGGAGTCGCATACCTGCCTCCTCCTTCAAGTTCCAGTTTAAGAATGTGGAGTACAGTTCAGGACGCAACAAGACTTTGTTATGTTACACTATCGAACGTGGCGAGGGGCAGGCTTTTAGTGGATATCTTGAAGATGAGCATGCTTCTTCACACGTTGAAGAGGCCTTCTTTACTACTGTCCTGCCGCAGTTTCTTACAGCTGGCCCAGTCATTGTCACTTGTTATATTTCCTCAAGTCCATGTGTGCCCTGTGCAGCCTGCATTGCTCGAAGCCTTCGTAAAAACAAGACTCTGCAGCTACGATTAGTCTTTGCTCGTCTTTTCCAGTGGGAGGAATCAGAAATCCGAGGAGCTTTGAAAGGTCTCCGTTCAGCAGGTTGCGCTATCAGAATGATGAGAGGGGCAGATTATTTGCATGTGTGGAAACTTTTTGTTGAGCCTGACATCAACCTAGACGAAGAAGGAAAACCTGAAGAAAAGGATGAACAAGGAGAATTTATTCCATGGGAGGATTTAGAGGAAAACTCAAGGTATTATGAGGAGAAGCTGGCAGAGATTCTGAGATGAGAAAGACGTGCACTGCTGGATGGAAGACCAGTTTAAGAATTGGGATTGTCATGTTACTTTTAGAACAACTTCATTATGGGTGCTGCTTAATCCACTGTATGCAGCTTGCTTTATGCATTATATCCTTCTGTGGGTTGATTTATCAAAAGATAAGCTTATTCTGCATAATTAAGTTTATATTTTAAGATTTAACATAAAATACAGAGTATAAAAAAAAGATATCAAATTTAGCTTCCAATGAGAAATAAGGAAAGACACACGTTCATTTTAGCAGCATCAACTACTTTTTGGTGACGAGCAAGATGCATCCATATTCCCATGATCTATTTTGTAACATTACACCGATTTTGGAGCACCTTAATATTATGTCTACTAATAAATGACAAAGCAAAACATAAACAAGTTTTTTTTTTATAAACACATTAATAACACTCCTCTTTGTACATTCAGCAATTCTTTCGAATCCTACATTTTTTTTTTTTTGCTTCCAGTATTCTTCAAATGAAACCAATACAAAAATAACTTTCTCTGAGTATTTATTATAAATGTACAGTAAGTGTATAAAAAAACATCAGTATGAAAGAATACTAGATATTAAAATCCATGTGTTTGTATTGTAAACATTTAGGGAAATAACCTGTGACAGAGCCCCTCTACTCAGATTAATTACCTCCATCAACCTCCCTTTTCTTCCCGCAGGACACTTAGAGCGATTAAAGCAGCTCACCCAAACATTAACTGAGCCTTGATGAAGGGTGATATAGTGTAAACTTTGTTTAAGAAAACCACACACATTTATAAACACACACTGTGTATTGATCCTCCAGGGGCTGATCCACATTACAAAATATAAAACAAAATATAGTTCCCTCAGCGTCACTTTGCCTAGGCTTATTAGAGTTAAGATGATCAGGGCTGCAGTTAATGCAATCTCCCACCTGCTGGGTCGACACAGTACAAGGAATCAAAGCCCTGAAAACCCTTTCCCCAACAGAGAACCCCCCACTACCCACTATTCATTCCCTAGCTACCCACTGTTCAAAGAGTGTCCTGATTCCTTGTACAATGTCCAATTGCCACCAGGTTAAAAGTTTGACAGGCTGCAACTAAAATCCAAACTGGTGTAGAGTTTCATGTGGCCGCATAAAGTTACGCGTTGCTTCAGAGAGATATCGCAACTGGGGGGCCCCACATTATGGGCGCTCGGGTCTGCTTCTGCAATGGAGGGGGCAAGACCACAGGGATGTGAGAGTAGTCTTTGAGTAGTTTTAGGTTATTTGCCAGGGTCCATAGTCTGTAAGAAGAAGCAGGCTGGCATCCAAGCCCCTCTAAAAGTCCTAGGAACAAAGGCATCTGTCATACTACCTTACTACTTTTTGCAACATTAGCCTAAATGGTTAATAACAATCTCAAATAATGTAAGCCCAAACATTTATTTTATTTAACAATATTTATGTTACTATTTTTAAACCTTAGTAGAATACTCATTATGTATTAAGCATGAATAGTAGATTTCCTTAAAGGGACACTATAGTCACCAAAACAACTTTAGCTTAATGAAGCCATTTTGGTGTATAGATCATGTCCCTGCAGTCTCACTGCTCAATTCTCTGCCATTTAGGAGTTAAATCACTTTATTTATGAACACTAGTTACACCTCCCTGCATGCGACTTGCACAGCCTTCCTAAACACTTCCTGTAAAGAGTCATGGAAACTTTATCCTTCCTTTACTGTGAAGTTCTGTTTAATTTAGATTTTCGTATCCCCTGCTATGTTAATAGCTTGCTAGACCCTGCAAGAGCCTCCTGTATGTGATTCAAGTTCAATTTACAGAGAAAGATACAATTGTTTAAGGTAAATTACATCTGATTGAAAGTGAAACCAGGCTGTGTCAATCAGAGCCAGGGGAGGTGTGACAAGGGCAGTGGATTGAACAGTGAAACCTGAGAAGCATGATCTACACGAGGCATGTAAAACTCGCGGCCCGCGTGCGGCCCACAAGGACCATCTTTTCAGCCCGACGAGCCGTGAGTACATGCTGGTGTTATAGCAGAGTAGGCACCTGCTTTCCCCACATTGCAGGTGCTTACTCTGCTAAAACTTACCCAGCCGGGATGGAAGGGACTGTGGATGCAGCGAGGGAGTTAAGTGTTCCTGCTCCTCATTGCTCCCTGGCGCGCGCCATCTGTACTGAAGCTGGGAGCTGGAATATGACATCAAATTCCGGCACCTGGCATCATGAAACCGTGCGAGGGAGCAGTGAGGAGATCTCCATACAGAAGATCCCCACACCAGCTCCCAAAGGTAGGGAACAATAAATTAAATGATGTGAGTGCAAGAATGTGTAAATGTGTGTGTGTGTGTGTGTGTGTGTGTGTCTGTCTGTCAGTGTGTGTGTTTCTGTCAGTGTGTATGTGATTCTGTGTCAGTGAGTATGTTTGTGTGTGTATATCTGTCAGTGAGTATGTGTGTCTGTGTGTCAGTGAGTATGTGTGTGTCTGTCTGTGTGTGTCTGTCAGTGTGTCTCAGGCCTGGACTGATCAGGGACTGGGCAAATGCCCAGTGGGCCGCGATGGCCATGGGACAAGGCCGGCAGGGAAGATCACAGGATCTCTCTGGCTGGCCCATGCAGGGGCGACACTATTAGTGTGCCGACCCTGCTGTGTGCCTTCATGGGTCAGTGGGGAGATCAAAGATCTCCCTCACCGGCCCACAGGCACTGTAACACTGCCGCTGGCTGGGGAGGAAGGGAGAGGAGGACCCAGTGGAGCTCTACCTGCAGCTCTGCCGGGTTCCTCTCGCGAGGTTGGACTCGGAGGAACTGCAGGGTAGAGTTCACTAACCACTAGGACCACCAGGGACTGCAGCATGCAGACTCCTCCATGGCAGCATGGCTCCCCCCTCCCAGGCTAAAGGTAAGAAGGGAGGGGGCATATGAAGTTTATTTTTTTTTATAATAATAATAAAAAAAATTCATATATTTACATCTTGCCACCCCACACACACACAATCCCTCCAGACATATTCACACACACACACTAACAGCACACTCAAACACACCACACTCAGACACACACTGCACCCTCAGACACACGCACAGCATCTTCACACACAGCACCCTCATGCACACACAGCACACACTTACCCACACAGCACACTTAACCACACACAGCACCCTCGCACACAGCACACACACACACACACACAAATATATAAAATAACAACAGACAAAGAGAATTAGACACATAGAATGTGATGGCAGATAAGAACACCCTCACCCACACAGCACCCCTCTTACACACACACACACACACACACTGCACCCTTCACACATACACACAGCACTAACACTAACAGCACACTCTCACACACCACACTCAGACACACACTGCACCCTCAGACACACGCACAGCATCTTTACACACAGCACCCTTCACACATACACACAGCACACCCAACACAATGTGACCCTCACACATACAATACATACAACTATATATACAAATATATATATATATATATATATATATATACACACTATAGCACCCCTCACATTGCACCACTACACACATTACTCTTCAGATACATGCCAGATCCCTTACCCTTGGATCATCTAATCTACACACACACACATACACATACACACAGTAGATCCCTATATACACTCTAAATCCTCTACACACACTACATTCCTAACATACAAACTCTGGATCCCCTAAACACACTACATTCCTAACATGCAAACTCTGGATCCCCTACATACAAACTCTGGATCACACTACATTCCTTGTTAGCAAACACATGCTACATTCTCTAAACACATAGTCTCTACAACCCCTACACACACTACAGCCGGTATGCACACACCTGCTACATCACCAATACACACTATACCCCCTATACCCACACTCTCTACAGCCCCTAGCACGATACGCTTTCCTGGGCCTTTTGTCCTCTGATATCCCACTTACTGAGACACCAGAGACAAGTTGAAAGTAAACACAGCGCAAGCATGTTATTAAATTTGCTTGCGCTGCGCAGAACAAACACAGGGCCTTTTTCTCATGCTATAGCTCTTCAGCAGGGCTCTGTGCATTGAACTAACATGCTCACTTTGAGAGGGGGCGTGCTTGTCATTAGTGATGACAACCCACTCCCTCTCTGGCCCCGCCCCCTTCTCAGGGGGCCGCTGTGATTCAAAAATGCCCCGGGCCAAAATTTTGTCCCCGGTCGGGCCCTGGTGTGTCTGTATGTGTGTGTGTGTCTGTCAGTGAGTATGTGTGTGTGTCTGTCTGTTAGTGAGTGTGTGTGTGTTGGTCAGTGTTGCATTGGCTGCGACTGGACAGTGGAGTACCTGGAGGTGCATGGAGGCACGCAACGCCACGTGACATCGACATGCTCATCTTCACAGGGTGTCAAGAAGTAGCGGGAGGATCAGATTTGGCACAGGGTGGTAGAGGGGGGGACTGGGATTTAGTAGAGGGGTGTGCTGTGGTTTAGTAGAGGGTATGCAGGTTTTTTTTTTATGCTGTACTTTTTAAAATAAACCTATGTTTCTATGAAAATGTAAGGTTCATTTTTTTGCGGCCCACATAAACTTAAACCTTGTTTATGTGGCCCGTGCCAGACTTTGAGTTTGACATGCTTGATCTACACACTAAAACTGCCTTATTAAGCTAAAGTTGTTTAGGTGACTATAGTGTTCCTGTGTCTGTAATGTGTTGGTTGTTGGATCATATATCTTGTTTTTTTTTTTTTATGAACTGGCCCAAAGATAATCTCACATTCTCTTCTTCCACCTTCTTTATGCCTTCTCTAAATTTAGATGTTATGCTATAGTGCATTTCTCCTCTTAAGCTTATGCTTTTCTCCTCTTATGCTTTAGTGCTTTTCCTTCCTCTCGCCACTGCTTTCATGGTCTCAAATTTCACTAATGTCCTAAAATAACACTTTGAGCCACTACATACAGAAAGGGTAAAGGCCTACTTAAATTATTAAAACACAATCTGGGGTTTTGTATGGCCTTCTATAAACACAGGATGCTTTATATTTTGAAATGCTGAGCAATAGTTTCTCATGCTGTACTGTATTTTACCACTTTCATGATTTGCTTTTGATGTGGGTGCTTTTAAAATGGCTACCGTGGAAGACTTGTTTTCTTTTCCACTGATCTTTCTAAATAAAGTGATTTTTTTGTTGTTTTTTTTTTAAAGTCTTATTGTTTTTTTTTCATAAGTAGAAACGGATTACAAATATATATATTAAAAGCTGGGCCTGTAGTTGTGGGAGGGGCATGATTTCCCTACTTAAGGACCGCCAGACCGTTGTTGGTCTGGTGATTTGCATACCTGGACTTCCGACTGCAGATCGCCATTTTGCTTACCTTTCCTCGTAGATACCTTATCTGCTCTTAGAGTGCCTGGTTTGAGTTTCCAGCTGTCTAAGGCCTTCTGCTAACTGTCCCAAAGCCACAGTAACAGTGAGTTGGTTGACCTTCACGACCCTGTCGCAAGCGCACAGTGTCATCACTGTAACTCTATTTCTCACACTTACCTTTTTTCGTATGCCTTCGCGTAGTCTTTGGTTAACTTCATTACGAACGTACGGTTCGGCAGTTTGTTCACTATGTTACTGCTTGTCGGTTCGTATACATTGGCTTTCATGAGGTTCCGCTCACCCGTTTGGCCCTTAAGCACGAACGTTCATATGCACAAACGTTACTTACGATTCACACAAACATGTCTGTTATGGTGTTTTGTTATACTGGAGCATTTGGTTGTTAGGTGGCTCTTTGCTCCTCTTTTGGGGCCGTTCGTATAATTACAGCCGAATGCTCTATTATAGTAATAGGAATTCCTTGAGTCTATGTGGACATTCGTATAATTAAATGAATATGCTTGATAGGCTGCTGACCCCTAGAGGTCATAGGGGAGTACTGCACGTTTTATACATTATTGATCAAATACTGTGTTTAAATTTGAATTGAGCAGTGCATTGTTGCTAGATTTTGTTCTGCTATTTGATATGTTATAAACAAGCTGTTTGATAGGTTGCCGGGCTTGTACCTTCTTTTTGCTGTGCCTCTGAGGTTTTTCAAGTCTCATATGTTCTGGTTTACCAGAACTGCCTGGTTCAATTTTTAGGCCTAGTCTATTAGCTGGTAGGAATCCCATATTATTTTATGTTGGTTACTACTATTTACAGTCACGTTATGGGTACTACATGATTACTATTACTCTCGTAGGTATTGCTCAGGTTTCATCTACTCTGTCCTACTCTACATCCATCTGCTACGACAGGTAGGTGTACCCAGTGGTCATTACAGTTCTCACCCCTCCCCATCCTGCAACTATAACTAGGGTAAGACTTTGTCTACTGGCTTTTGGGTTTCAGAGTCTGCTTATTTAATTTTTCTGGCCTTCTGGCCTAGTCTTATTGGTCCCACGAGGCCAACACCCATCCTCATACTCGGAGGTACTCACGTCCAACGGCCACCTCATAGTTAGTTGTCTTGCATGGTGGTATAGAGAGGGCCTCCCTGTCACTTCCATGCTATCTTTTGCTTTACTGGTCACCGAGAGGCCACCACCCTGCCACAATTTCAGTGGCCACAAAATCCCCTCGTGCCAACACATAGCTCGAGCCTCTCATGCCACTTGGCAATTAGCAGGGCTCCCCTCTCCCTCATTAGATAATTTTTCACCACTTGGCTGCTAGCCAGTACGTTATTATCATTTCGGTTACTTATGAATCTTTTGTCCTATTCTAGCATGTCTGAACTACCAGAAGTTATTGAGGATTTATCAATTCCCAGCACTCCTGCAAGGTCCATCTCTCCATCTCCTGCAGGGGACAATGCCAGCCTGTCTTCCCTCAGGTCCTGGACCATACCTAGGATCACGGCCAAATTAAGGCGCAGGAATATTCCCTACCCTGTCACTGCCAGGAAGGCAGAACTTTATAAACTACTCAATACCAACACGGATAACACAGGTTTTTGTAAGGGCCCAGTAGTGCCCAGTCATCCGACCTCCATGCCGTCCTTTCATCAGTCTTGTCCTCATTGGGACGGATTACGGATCGGTTGGACCGTTTGGATGCTAATGATAGGCCAGTGGCACCATCTGGATTGGTTACTCTAGAAACTACCGGTCTCTCAGGCACCCTGACTGGTAAATTTATTGGTCCACTACAGAACCCTAATATCTTTAACCCAGCTCACATGGTACCAGCTAATATTAAGAAGGATATCTAGGAAGGCAAGGATATCAGTCTAGTTTTTCTCCTGATTGCCTCCAAAGATATTCTGGAGAACAAGACATATTCCTAAACTAGTAAACTAGGCGATGTCTCGGTCGTACTGAAGGCTAAGGACCCCACGTTGAATAGGAAGTTGTTAATTCCTGAGTTCATCCTGGCTTTTGGTATTTATAGGTATGTGGTGTGCTCAGTTTATCCTGAACACAGAGAGGAATTCGACCTGTATTTACACAAGTTGGTGGACCTGGGGCATGCTAAGTATGGAGGCAAATCTTTTTATGATTACCACAGATCATTCGCCAAGAAGGCGTCTGCGGCCCTGGCTCAGTTCAATTTTCAGATGGACTGGAGCCAGTTTGACATGGAGCTGTTTTGCAGGCACTTCGCGGGCCTCAGGTCCCCAGCTTGTGGTATTTGCTCTTCGTCCTCACATACCACAAACCTATGTCATAATACCCCTGAGCTGGTGTTACCTTTCCTTTCCCTACCTCCCTACCCTATGAAATATAACATATAAACTACAGGCGGCATGACCAATGAGTATGAGAGTAAGGCATACTAGCAAGAACATGTGCAATACAAAAAAATACATAAAATAATACACAAAAAGTACATAAAAAAAGAACCAATTTCCCATAAAGTTGGAAAAATTCAACCAATATAAAAATGGCATATATGAAAAGTTGTAGAATTAATATGTACCACAACATAAAAATATGAAAAATGTATTAAACGAATAAAAGGGGAGCGGAGCTAAGCAGCACACGGAGACGGACGCAAGTCAGATCGGCTCCGGCCTTTTAATCAAGAAAACCCTCAATACCGGTGAGTAAACTAGCCACACATAAACAAAAACCCCAGAGTTATACCCAAGAGAGCTCACCGAACCCGCAGATGCCCTTTCTGTTCCCGGCGACCACCAAAACTCAGCGCCGAGGATCTCGGGCCTACCACCCGGGGAGCCGGCAGCTGGGACGGGAAAGCAGCTTCGACTTCTTCGCCAAAAACATCCTGGGTGAACCCCCGACGACGTAATGGGCTGCAAAAACCCACGGCTAAGTCAGCCGGCGGCTAGAGATAGCCAAGACATCGGGAAAATGCTCACCTCGGTGCCACGCGCAAAAAAAACGGCACCCCCACGACCCGCGGCCCAACATACTCCAACAGTGGACAATACCCCGGACCTGGGGTCCCTGCTGTCAGGAGACAGCGATGCTCCGTCTCCAAAGGGAGACATATACAACTTATTCCTCCACATGCAGAGGCTCTTTACAACTGACATCACAGCAGTAAAGTCTGAGATACAGCAGGTAACTGCCAGGCTACACACCTCAGAGGCAGACTTAACCTCCCTGAAACAGGGCATTGATAACCTTGGGGACACAGTTCAACACCTCAGCTTATCGATCCGAATGGAGCAATTAGAAGACAGAAGTAGGAGTAAAAACATCAAGATACGGGGAGTCGCTGACACGCCCCCACCCCCCCGAGGAACTACCACAATTTGTCCGGCGACTGGTCGCCTTCCTACTACCGACATGTTCGGCCAAGCAATTCTCCTTTGAAGGTGTGTACCGCATCGCTAAATCCCTCCAAGCACCCACCACCTCAACCTCATCATCTTATGTTGCCAGTCTTATGCAGATAAGCAAAGGAGCTTCACGGCTCTGAAGGGGAAAACGCCATTAAAATTTGAATAATTTTCACTTACCTTCTTCCAAGACCTCTGCAGAGCCACGCTACTATGGAGGAAATCCATGCAACCAGTCACCAAAGCCCTTCAAAGTGCGGGACTGGCATACCGATGGTCCCACCCCAGAGCCATCATGGTGATTAAAAACGGGACACACTACAGGGCCTCTAGTCCCTCAGACTGTACAGCCTTTTTACAGGCCCTGAACCTGCCTGCCACGAAAGCGACACCGACAACGCCAGGCGACTGGGACGTGAGCAACATCACCCCTTTTACACCCAGGACCAGACGGGACACTGACACTTGATTATCGACACCCATTCCGACCTCCTAAGATGTTGTTCCACTTTGTCTAATAACTTTGGGACATCTCCACCCACGTTAAAATGGGATCTATAACGAAATTCACCGGTTGTATGTGTAATAAAGATTTAAAATGTTTTTTAGTTAATAAGGCTGCAAGGCAACTTCTTCCTTGCAAACCTAGATCTTAAGCTATGTAATCTTAGCAGATACCTATATAATGTTAAACCTGAAGCTTAAGCATTATTCTTTTCCCTCTCTATACCAAACGATACAAGGTCATATGGCTACCCGCATAATATGAGGCACTAATAGAAACACATTGAGCCCTAGTCAGCCACACAGGCCCGTGCTCTGAGGAGCGCATGTAACTCCTCTACATGAGAGCCCCACACTCCTCCTCCCACTATACGATCTCAAAGCCCGTTTAATGTGCCGCCTAAACTTGGAGGATCTCCATCACCCATCACCCCCCCGTCACCCCATAGGATAGGGGTACCACAGATAGGTCAAAATCTACAGAATGGCGCCAGATTGCTGTTAACGCCATATCATACTGACCTGAGGATAACCCATAGTCAATACATACAAAAATTTAATGGATTACTTCCATCAGACGTGCCCTAGACATATATCGGCACAAGACATTTACTACATACATTTGCCACCAGGAAAAGCGAATAACGCAATGGCTGAGACATCGGCAAAACATGTAGTTGAGTACATGGGCGTCTGCAGGGTGCGGGAATGGGGGGACACTTGCCCCCCCCCCCCTGGATTTTTCAGCTTGTTCTGCTATTTTTCGTGTGAGATTTAAAATGAACTGCAATACCGGCGCCGGCCAGTAGGTGGCGCTGTGTATGGAGAGAGACAGGGATAGGAAGCTGCATCTTATCCCTGCTTCTCTCTGCTGATTGAAACCGCAGGGGAGCAGCACATGCAGCCAGAGACAGCCTACAGATCAGGGGAGTGAGGGATGGGGGAGGCAGAGACAGCCTACAGATCAGGGGAGTGAGGGATGGGGGGCAGAGACAGCCTACAGATCAGGGGAGTGAGGGATGGGGGGCAGAGACAGCCTACAGATCAGGGGAGTGAGG